CCCCCCCGCAAAAGAAGAAGGAACATCCCACCCCTCTCCCCCTCCCTATTTTTTTCTTAGCTGAAAAATGTTTGGACAGCAAACTGTCTCTACGGTGGAGAGTCTCCTCTGTGGGAGTTTTGGCAGCCGGTGGTATGTGTCAATCCTTTCAGCACAGCCAACTTTAGATGCTCTTTTAGCTGAGAAGTCCATTCTGGAATCACAGAGCATCTTTCTGTTCTGGGAAGCTCCCCAGAACAGGAAAAGGGATGACGTGCATTCACCCAGCCCCGGCTGCCGACCTAGAGCTCCTTGCATATCACTGCTTCCTCCACTTGGCCTCTCTCATCCCTTACCATCCATGGGGAGACCTGCAGGGAAGGCAGGGAAGCGTGTTCTCTTTTAGGTGTGCAGCAGTGTGGTGGAGAAAATATGGCTATTTACAACACTAAACCTAAATATCTCATCATACGGAAGGTCTAGTGCATGTACTGCAAGCAGAACAATGCAGAAAACCTTTGCCTTTGCTATCATCACGTTATCTTTGATTTTTCAATATTTAATTAGGTGTGCAGAGCTGTTAGCTGTCTATTAGTGTCTGTTTCAGTGTAACTTTGGGTTATGTGTGACAGATTGCACATCTTCTGCAAAAGTTAAGCAAAAAAAAAAAAAAAAGGCAGCTAATTTTACTATAGATGCGACTGCTGAAGTGCTTAATTGCCTATCAGATAAAACTGTCACTTGGAAAATTCTGCTAGACTAGATGTCAGTGACAGACTGGTGCTGTGTGTGCATGTGTAGACAATCCTATCAAAATATTTTAGCTACTATGGAGAATATGGTTGGGGAAAATGCATTTAATGAAGTCAGGAGTCTTTGCTTGCCTTCTCTTCAGATATGCAGCAGCCTTAAATCCCTACGTTGATGTGGTCACTGGCTGCCCTGCATCTCTTCCCCTGTCAGGGCAGCGAGCAGTCTCACAGGCTAACAGCCAGGGCTTGAGAGGATGAGCCCAGATTTGCAATGGGTCCTCTTCTCGCTTCGCATCTGTCTTTTGTGCTTGGAGCCATGCTTGCTGCCACCATCATGGCAAAGATCAAGGCCTGTCATCTACAAGGGAAGGACGAAGAGGAGCTGCTGATGCAACTGGATGACCAGAAGCCGGAACAGGCTCGACACCACATGGTGAGGGTCCTGGGGGAGACAGATTTCAAACTCTTCAAGATAGATGTGGTCTCCGAATCCATTGCCAGGGCTGTGGCTGTTATCAGTCAGCACCCAAAGGAGGACTTGAGGACATTTTACAAAGGCAGAAAGAACAAGCCTCTTGAGCAGTGGCCCAAGATGACACATGGTTGGCAACACATGCAAAGTGAGCACAAAGATAGTCTGAGACCAAAAGCCATCAACAAAAGGAACAAACCCAGAGTTTCACTGCTGGGGTATAAAACTGCTGTGTACTAATGTTCTTAATTATATTGGTTAAGTATTTCCTCATTAAACGTAAAGTTCGCTTTAGGGGAGAAAGGGATTTT